GGTGACCCGACAAAAAGTGAAACCCCGTAGACGGGCCTAACCTACTTTATATCGGTTGCTTATGATTTAGGTTTGATTAATTATAATGAAATTTTTAAAAAAAGTATAGTTGGAATGTGGTGTTAAATTTTAGGTTAGTATCGGTTGTATCGGTGCCAAGGGTGCACACTGTTCCGCTCTCACCACGGTTGCTGTTCCCAGTTGGTCGCGGCGAATTGTGTCCGCTACTCTGCTCTCTAAATCCTGCGTAGTTATGTAGTGAGGCGAGTGGTTGTCCACCTCGCCGGCGTATTCAGCCACTTAGCGATGTTTTTTTTCCCCCTTCTTTTGGATGAAGTTTGTGATGGTGAAATCTGTGTACCGCCAGGAGCGCCGCGCACCGCTGCTCAGACTTGTTTGGCCGAAACGACGCGGTCTTGTGTCCTATGTTGCTGACGTCGTTGGATGCTGCAATGCACCTTCGCCCAGTAAAATGCGTTGGAGGTAAGATTCCTCGTACTTAGTGTTGCTGCCGTCTTTAAGCTGCCGTCGCTGGCCCTCGGGTTAGCACCCTGAGAATCTTTCAACGGGCTTCTTCCTGGTCGGTGGAGACCTGTTACCACTGCTGGACCGCTCGTGGCGGTATATTTAGCGCTTCTTGTTATAAAGAAGGAAAACAAATACACTTTTGTTTATTTTTGCTTTTACTAAACTTTTGACACTCGTACATGTGTTACCCACAGGACCGCGACTTTTCTTTGATCCTGTTGGTGGATTAACACCCTGTTGGATCGAACCTATGGTTTCCCGTATTTTGGTCAAACGAACCTTAAAACTACCTCTACGTGCAGGGGTANTACCGTCGTGATCCTCTAGGTGTTGGATCGAACCTATGGTTTCCCGTATTTTGGTCAAACGAACCTTAAAACTACCTCTACGTGCAGGGGTAGATCGAACATGCTTTACAGTTTGTCTGTTTATTGCGGTTCTTAGTAACGCAGCATATTTATTGTTGCTAAGGTATAGCAACATTATGAATGTTGCTAATAGTTTGGTGATTTTATGGAGGTTGCTAAGCTGTTTTGGTTGCATGTGCCACAGGCTGGGGTTACAGGCTCGCATCCGCCGATGGTGCCTGCACCATGGAGCGTGTGCGAAAAAAATTCTATCGCCGCCTGTATCCTGTCTTTTATTGTTTTGATTGATTCCCCTTATTGTTCCTCGTGCCCAATGTGTGGCCTCGACCCACGACCCATCGCCGGCTTAACCCAAATACGCTTTATCCGTAATCAAACACTGGGAAATAAGTACATAACAAAAAAAAAACTCATTGAGCAAACACTAAGCTGTATACACGAAGTTGTACACCCGGACTTAACACACTGAAAACATGAAGTTACCTAACGAAAATATCTTTTGCATGGTATATGCCTAATTTCTTTCCAGACGAGTCCCCTAATTCATACAATGAATTTCCTATTGTACGTAGGACTACGCACTGGATGTGTCTTGGTGCGAGCTTGGCATTATAATTATCAACACGTGAACTCTGCTTGAAATTGCGGCGATATACCATTTGTCCCACTGCGAAATTTACCTCTTTTGTTCTCAAGTTGTACGTTTTCTCTCCTGCCGTATGTGCTCGTTTAAGTTCTCCCGTTATTTTGTTTCTTATAATTTGTTGCTTGTACACTCCCACGTCCACGGTACAGTCTGAGTCCTTGACAGAGCCTAACTTGCGCAGGACATTGTACGCGGCGCCGTGCTGTACCATCGGGATTCCGAAAACCGCGTAGTAAGGGGTTTTGCCTGTCGCGGCATGTACTGCGCTCCTAAGGGCGAAGGCGGCATCGCTTGTGTGTTGGTCCCAGTTCTTTTGGTTTTCCCCGATGTAGGACC